TGTGAGTTGATGAATGTTTATATGTAAATAAAAGCCTAAATTAAATATTTTCACCTTTGAGACAAATTGGACTAAACCACTCAATTCATATGGATTAGTTTTACGATCTCTTTATGAACTTTTTGAAGTGTCAGTGGTAGTTGCGTAGACTGTCAATGGAGAGTACAATAATCTTTATTTCATTAAAAAGATCTTCATTTGTGTTCCAAAGATGAACGAAAGTCTTGGGTTTGGAATGACATGTGGGTGAGTAAATGACAAAATAGTGTTGTCAAAAAGTACGGACTTCAGTGCCAAGTCTGTACTGAAATTTTAAACGTGATCCTTTGAGCATTGTTGAGTGGAATCGTAAATACCTCCGATTGCGCATTGTGCTCACGCGCTCTTCAAATATGTTTGTGATTGGCTACAATGATCAGTGCTTCAAAAACATGTCGTTATAGATTACGCTATTCACGAGCTCTCGAACATCAATTACGCTATTCACCGAGATCTCAAACGCTCCCGTGCATGGATCATTGTAGCCAATCACAGACATATCCGATAAGTGTGTGAACAACACAATGGGCAATCAGATATGTTTACAATTCCGCTCAAATCATCACATTTTTTGTGATGTCGAGTCGGTAATTTTGACAACACTATGGCAAAATTTTCATTTTTGGGTGAACTAGCCCTTTAACTTTTTTTCAAATTACTGTGTGCCACTTGTTATTACAAAATATGATTTCCCATAAGCAGCACATTATAATTCCTATGGTTAATGACATTATTCTCCATTCCAGGAGTAAATACAAAGCACTAACTGTCTATTGAAAAACAACAGTGTATGAGAGAAGGTGAGACACACAGTGAGAAAAAGGCATGGTAAACGAGAGATATACAAAATGAAATGGTCTGCATTCCTCATCATTCCGCATTCAAAAGAAAGAGTCTGTAGCATTAGTCTGGACAAGATTGTACTTGCCTCTCTGTATGAAAGTCAGAGAGAGAGAGACAAGCAATGTCAGAACAGGAAGAGGAAGTGGTAAGGCACCCCCATTGTTTCAGTTATTATCCACCCAAATGACAAATCTGGGAGAAAGGCACTTCACCAACTTAGACTGAGTAACTTATTGCACGGTGTACAGGTGCTACAGTAGTAACGTGATGCCCAAGCCTTGAAATACCGGCAGTGCCACACACAGTATTTTCAAAACGGTAGTACCGTGAAGCATGGTCGAGTATATTCTCATGCAATATATGCTTCAAGCAATACTCAAGCTGAATTAATTGGCATGTATTTTTTAAGTCCAGTATTTTAGGTGCCATTTACACTGGACCCGTGACGAAGCACAACGGAATGAAACACAATGTGAGAATTTGACAGCATCTTTTGACAGAAATGTAAATATATGTTCAGAACTGTACTATTTATGTATTATCACTGCAATAATTATGATAAAATTTCATGCAAACTGTACATAAGCAATACAACAGAATATCCCCTGCAATAATGACACATCCACACGATAAAAGAAGTATTGCAACGACTTGGTATTGACAACCCTAACTTGTACTAATCTAAACAGCTGAAGCAACTTAAAGGATCACTTCTAAAATACCTTACTGTAAAAAGTGTTTTTCATACATTAATGTTTAAAAGATTTTTAAGTAAGACTTTTTGGGGGAATTAAATTAATACTTTTATACAGTAAGGATGCATCAAATTGGTCAAATGTGACTGAGGACATTTACATTGTTACAAAACATTTCTATTTCAAATAAATGCTGTTCTTTCTATTCATCACAAAATCCTGAAAAGAAAGCATGAAGGTTTCCGCAAAAATATTAAGCCGCACAACAATTTTCAACATTGATAATAATAAGAAATATTTATGGAGCAACAAATCATCATTTTAGAATGATTTCTGAAGGATCATGTGACACTGAAGACTGGAGGAATGATGCTGAAAATTCAGATTTGCCTTCACAAAAATAAATTACATTTTAAAATCAATTAAAATAGAAAACAGAGATTTTACTGTCATAGTGAAAATAAGAGATGTCTTTCAAAAACATGACAAAAATCTTACTGACCGCATACAGTAGTGCATTCTAATAATTGATACTGCACACATTGCACGGGATGATTGTACAGATTCTAGATAAGAAGACTTGCTTTGAGATTTTTAATACAAACTAACTTGAATATTGCAGATTGTGTACATAGCCAATCCAACTGGCTTTCGTGACAACCTAATCATTCCACCTTTTCCACGGAAGTACAGTAATTAGGAATCTCTTTGTAATGGGTTGTACCATAGCCAAAAAGGCCTGAAGCTCTTTATTGTTGACCTAAAACTTTTTGCAACAAAGTAACTGTATTGTTGTCTTCCTGTTTTTCCATTATGAACTACAGTAACGTAATACCACAAACTGCTAAAACAACACTTGTGTTTGGCCATTCCATGTGTTAGTCCCATGACAAAATAATCTATATAACAAAATAATCTGAACTGAACTGATTTAAAGGATTATACAACATTAGTTTTCAGTCCAAATAATAGGTAAATATTTTAAAATGCAACAACCTGGTTGTCCTGCATCCTCAATAAACAAGCTACAGTTAGTGCAAAAAGCAGCTGCTAGAGTTTTTACTAGGTCAAGAAAATATGATCATATAACACCAATTTTATCATCTCTACACTGGTTACCTATTAAGTTCCGTATCAATTACAAAGTATTACTACTGACCTATAAAGCCCTAAATGGTCTAGCTCCTGTGTATTTAATGGACCTTCTATTGCCCTACAATCCATCGCGTTCTTTAATATCACTAAATTCTAGGCTTCTGGTCATTCCTAGGATATCCAAGTACACTAAAGGAGGGAGGGCATTCTCACATTTAGCTCCTAAACTCTGGAATAGCCTTCCTGATTTTGTTCGAGGCTCAGACTCGCTGTCGCAGTTTAAAACTAGATTAAAGACGCATCTCTTTAGCCAAGCATTCACATAATGCTTACCTTTTATACCACTGTTGAATCAGATCAACGCATTAATATTATGAACAGCAGCTACGCTAATTATTTCCCATCTGCTTTTCTTGACGCTAGTCCCGAGGTAAATAGCGTTCGTCAGCTCCAGATTGTATCCAGCCTCTCACGGAGACTTCAGATGCCCCTACACCTGCGGTGAGATGACTAAATGCCTGTGAAGAGACGACTCGACGCCTGGAAGAAGAGACGACTCAACGCCGGCGATATGTTATGCCCTAAATTAATACATGATTGATTAACTAACTGTATTTTTTCTATGTACATTTCTGAAATGCACTTTCTGTAAAGCTGCTTTGAAACAATATGTATTGTGAAAAGCGCTATACAAATAAATTTGAATTGAATTGAATTGAATCAAGGAAACAAGCAATGAGAATGTTTACATAAAACAACACTGGGATGAAACCCGAGTACTATCAGCTGATAAAGAAGTACAGGCAGGTTAACTGATGACTGCAATTTCTCTTCAAATGCATCCAATAAAATTTATGAACAAGGCTCACTCCATGAAGGTTAAACTAATCTAATCCCAGTTCACTCTAGCTGTCAGACGGTCATAGCTAGGAACTACATCAAGACTAACGATGCTTCTTAAGTGCTCCTTGCTCAAAAATGTAATGGACTACGGTGGTTTTCTACACAACGAATTACCTGGAAGACAAACATAAAATGTAAACAATGAACTACATCCATTTACCTTGACAAACTGTAAAAACAAACTGAGTCTGAAATTAAAGATACTTTATGCATGGACAAGTACAAGGGCTACAATTTGTACTCAGTTTATTAAAGTAGATCAATAAAACTCATAATAAACCCTATTTGTTTCTACCTGCCAGGGCTTATAAACGTATAAAACATTATACAGCAAGCAATTTCTGGCTCAAATTTGATAGGTTGAGTGGGGTTTCAAGAGTGCAGTTATTTAATATAACAGCAAAGGGATAAAGACCGGAGAATGTGAGTGGTGTAAAATTGAAACAAAGCTAGGAGCAAGTTTTCTAAAATTGAAGTTACTGTTTTCTCTCACGAATAGAAAGAGGTGAAACTTTGCTTGCAGCAATTAGTATTTTCTCCTCACCGGGGTTTCTCTCACCAGTGACATACAAAACACGGGGTGGAACATCAGCCCAGTGATTATAGAAGGCCTGGAGCAAGGAGTGCAAATCCACTTATTAATGCTGATCCAGACCAGGCTTTCAGTTTGTTTGTTGGTTGGAGATCAGTAAAAGTTGTTGCACTGGTTTATTTTGGAACCATTTTATTTGACGGAGAAGAAATATTTATTAGTTACTTGTGTATTTAACTGTTGTATAAATGCAAAATGACAATCGCGCGGAATTAGAGCCGTACTAGGCTACTATGCAGTACAACATATCACTCACTTGAGTAATATTAATCAAATTCATTTTAAAAAAACTCAAGACTCGTGTTACATGCATGCTATGAACTACAGTTGATATAATCAGCTTATACATGTATGAAATGAATTGCAATAGCGCTTATCATCATTGCTGATCAGGCTGAAATATCAATAACAACGCAAACGGTGATTATGTTGAGACTGCTTTTGCATGTAGCCTACTGCAAACATTTGTCAAGACATTTTAAGTACAATTATTAAGCTGTCAAAGATTGAGAGCAATTTTATTTGCTTATTCAAAACATATATCGATTCGAGGACAAGATGGATTCAAATATTATCGTTGCTGTCTGTTTGTTGAAAATAGAGGCGCGGGTCGACGGAAATAATAGGAATGCTGGCAAAGGTTACATATTGTAGCAAACACAACATTCCTCTTGCTGAGCAGAGGCAAACTGGCAGGATCGGATCGCTCGCGGATCATGCTAGTAATCAAGCATGCGAATGCTCCTCTCTGATGACAAATCACATCATTGAGCACAAGACAAATAATAAAATCTAAACAGACAATAATCCATTTCTTTAAGCTTAAAACTTACCTTCTAAAGGTGAGACGAGGTGACAAGCGCCTCTGAAGGCTTCCTGTTCTAAAGTTGTCGTATGTCGTTGGAAAAAAACATTGTACGCGGAAGTGGAGACAAAATTTTCAAGCGCGCGACGTTTGACAGCAGATATAAAAGCAGGACTAAATCATTCTTCTTAATGTGCAGATGATCATTAAATATGTTCAATAACCACCAAGTGCACTCGACAGAAAGCTATGTGTATTTTGCGTTGGAAACGTAACTTTTCGTCGTCCACTGCCTCTTCCTGTGTGACTTGCGACCACCAGAGGCCGAAAGATGTCCAAAAAAAATATTTCATGCATGCCCGTATGGTTCCGTTCAGTGTTACACTAAATTTGTTCCCCTCCATTTGAATGGCTCTTGAACGTGTGTTCGGCTCTCTGTGGCATTACTATTGACATATTCACGATTTATGAATGTGAACCCGAGCCAAGTCTGTGTTTGGGGTGTATGATAGACCTGTAGGTGAAACTCCACCATAGATTGCATTTTGTTTTATTTTTGAAATATACTGCACTGAGTGCACTCATATCGATTTTTGTATGCGCAGGAAATATGGTAGGCCTATTAGGTCTCTAGTTGTTTATTCATCATTTCCATTTATCTTTTTAATCTCAGAAATGCAGCGAGTTTGGTACCTGACAGGATGTAGACTACCTCATGAAACTTTTGACACAGACAGAAAAACCGAGTATTTTTAATTGGATGCATTTGATCTAAAATCACATAGGCTTACTGAACGCCAGAGAAAAATCCATACTCTAACAATTGAATCTCAAGAATATTGTTTATTGCTTTTGAAGATATTACTCTTTGCTCATTTTTTTGTTTTAGTCATCCTTTCTGTTTTAAATTTCACAATAAAACAAAGAAAAATCTTTACTGTTAGGTAAATGGTATTTTTTTTCCTTTTCAATGTGTACACACAAATACACAAAGTTCTATGTACAGATGAAATCTCCTTTAGTAAGGGCAAGTCAAGGGCACCAACTGTCATATAACAACTCTTTCAAATTCTTATCTAGAATCAGATAATAATTTTTCAAAGAATTGTAAGAATATATCCTTGAATATTGTTGGCACAGGTTTGGCAAAACCTTACTTTTATTTTGCCTTTGTATTAAACTTGTTCTAGGCCTTGTCTGAATGGTTTTCAATGTTAAATCCATTCATCAATGTGTGTCATTCTGCTCCTATGCATTGTCTTTACATTCAGATTGGATGTTCATATATCAAACTTAAACATTAGAATGAACACTGGTTAAAGAAATGAGCAGATGCTGCAACTAATATTATTCACACTTGATTAATTATAGTACATCACCACTGGGTGAATGAATTATTGAAAGATGAGACTAGCAGCATAACTCAGTCCAGTAGGGTCATCTACTTTTCTGAGGTATCTGGAGAAAATTTCCACAGGGCACAATTAGAGGGAGCATAATATTTTTTGCACACCTCCCTGTCTAAACTCTATTCTTATGAGCAATGTGAAAACAATTGCTCCTTCTTGGTCAACTTTGGGTCACTACACATATACTTATCCATTTCCCTGTCTCATATATCACTCTTCAAGGTAGAGAGTAAAATGACACCAATACAACTATCCCATATAGTAATAGTAATTAAACATAATGTACACAATAATAAAATATGTACAATGAAATAGATACAAACTCTAAATATTCACTGACATGAGCAGTATTGACTCTGTCTCTCATTCTCAGGCTCATAAAGTTTTTGGACGTTTTAAAAAAAGACATGGACTGAACATGAAATTTGAAAGTTAAAATAAATAAATAAATAAAAGTTTATCTTAAAAAAAACTATGAAGGGCTTTGAAAAATATAACCACAAGATGGCAATGTTTGACCATATATTTTTCTGAATCGGCACAATAAAACAAAAGTGCTTTATTGCAACACTGAATCACCTTAAAATTACTATCAGTGTTGCCATTATTGCATTTTGCTTGTGTTACACTGTTCAGCTGAACACTGTATTGCAGAGCTTAGCATTAACTTATGGAAAAGTCTGTGAAATACACCAAGCAGAACAAACTTACTGCCTGTCTCAGCATGGCCAAAATGCAGTGCAATTCAGAAAGTGGTGATAAAAGATATGCATATTCCACTACTGTGCTGTCTTGGCTATAAAATATCTCTGTTTCCGAAACAGAGATTAGAGAATGAGAATTATTTAGATATTTAAACATTCTAATCTGAAAAGCTATTTTGTGTGTGTGTGTGTGTGTGTGTGTGTGTGTGCGTGTGTGCGTGCGTGCGTGCGTGCGTGTGTGTGTGTGTGTGTGTGCTGCACTTCTACTCTCAGAATGACAAAAACTAAGATTGCATTGAGAGTCTCATTGTACGATACAGAAATCGAAGAAAGCAGAAATTGAAAGCTCTGATATTGGAACTGCATGAATGGCTTGGGAGGACACCGGAACAGAGGAAGGGGAAAAATGAAATGGGAATATACAGCATTATTTCACTAATGCAGGAATACACAGACAGAAAAAGAGAACCTGCAAGACATCAAAAATCACACAACAGAACATATTAACTGTGAGCAAGTTTAAGTGTCTCTGTTTCCCTTTGCCGGTCAACCATACTGAGGGAGGGAGAGAGGGATGGAGGCAGGGATGACGGTGGAGGAGTCAGGGGTCCCAGACTTTTGAGGGGATGTGGAGACACAGGTGGAGGAAGAGAAGAGAGAGGGGGCAGGACTCCCCCGAGACCCCCGGATTTGGCCTCTAGAAGGTGTGAGCGACCACTCAGCCCCGGCTCCTTCCTTAGAGGGAAGTCCGGTTCGTTCTCATTCTCCGAGCTGCAGTCGCTCAGGTCTGTGATCTCCAGCTCAGAGTCAGACTCTGGATCCTGCTTCACACCCTTTCTCCGCTCGGAAGGGCTTTGACGGCCTCCTCCTCCGCTTCCCACGCCGAGCCCACCCAAACCCAATCCCAATCCTAGGCCTAACCCTAAACCAAGACCTCCACCTATGACACTGGTGTTGGTCTCCCCTCTTTCCCGGTCGCCTACACCCGTACCCCCGTTCCCCAGCTCAGTCCGACCCAGTGGCACGCTCCCTGGGTACGGTGGGATGCAGAGTCTCGGGGGCTGACCGTTAGTTCCTCCCGTTTGACCACGTTCTGCCCCGGTCGTGTCTCCGGGGGGTAAGAGTGAAGAGAAGGGGTGTGGTAGCTGAGACAAGCTGGACTGGAGCGGGTTTGGGTAGAAATGTGAGGAGTAGAGGGAGCCTGGTGGCAATTTGGGACAGTTGTTTAGAGAAAAGGCCCCTGGGAGGTAGGGGTTGAAGCCCCAGGGGTAGTCAAAAGCCGGGTTCCGCGGGTAAGGACCCAACAGGGATGGAGGTTTGGAGTAACAAGGAGCCCCTGTGGGAGAAATTGAAAAACATGGAACGGAAACCAGTGTTAATGTTTAAGATCAGATGTTAGACACATGACTGAGAACAGAGAATGCGAGGGAAAACTAGAAGGACATTATGAATCATATATTTCAAAAACTTTATATATATCATCATATAGTAATATTTCATCAGCCATTACTCCAATCTTCAGTGTCACCTGATCCTTTACAAATCATTCTAATATGCTGATTTGATTATCAAAAACATCTTCTTATTATTGTCAATGTTACAAAAAGTTGTGCTGAGGTTATATGTTTTTGTGGACACTGTGAAGGATTTTTTTGCCAGGATTCTTCAATGAATAGATAGTTCAAGTGAACAGCATTTATTTGAAATAGAAATCCTTTGTAACTTTATAAATATCTTTACTGTCACTTTTGACTTACTCAATGATTTGAGCAATGAAGTATTAATTGCATAATACTTTGAAAAAAATTACTGACCACATACTTTTATATATATATAGGCTATATATGTGTGTATATATATATATGACAATGTAAGATAAAACACACCAAGCAAGCTTATTTTTTCACATCCTAATATGACATGAGAGTTGATATGCCTGATTTCACACTCCTAATACTTTACATGCTTTTCACTTACATTAAAAATCCTTTTCATCATTTTCAACCATATTCACAGTATACTTCCTCTCAGTCTTTCTTTCTTTCTTTCTTTCTTTCTTTCTTATTTCTCCATACTTTATTTTCTCTCCCTCTCTTTTTATCTCCACAGCCACTCTCTGTGTTATTTGCTATGCAGGGCTAATTTGACAGTGCTATAGAGAGTGTGTGTGTATGTAGGGCCAGGAGTAGCTGGCAGACACATGAATATTGAATCAGTCAGGCAGGCCTCACTTGCTTATGAAAACACAGTAATGGGCGCCCACAGGCCACAAACTGAAGCCTGCACCCTCAATTAGGGCCTTCCTGCTTGGGAAGGGATTAGGACAGGTACACATGGGAGGCAGAGAGGGGTAAGAAGAGGAGGAGGGCGGAAAAGGACCTCAGGACAAACAGAGTTGAAGGAGGGGGGTATTTTGGGGTGGGGAGTCGCACTGACATACTCATGCCCTTGTGCATTCTGATACACTGATATTTCAATGTAAATTCAAGAACATCCGAAAAAACAAGAGAATATGTATAGGCCTACATGATAACCCTCACAGAAAAAGTGCTAAAGTGCAATGCAAGAGCAAATGTCAAGAACATACTGATAACAGTGTGAACTAATCAGTTATATCTGAACTCAACACACTTTTTTTCACTGCTCTAAAAAACTAAGAACATTCCCTAATTAACATTAATCTATAATTTTCTCTTTTTCTTTTGTTAAATTTGTGTCTCACCTGAGCCGAGGAAAGGAAAAGTGTCCAATCTCAGCTTGTCCCCATCAGGCCCTGGGGCCCCTGCACTGCGCTCAAACAGAGAGGGCCCTCGACCCGATTCAGGCAAACGAGGGAATAAAGACTGAAGGGCCTGGGAGAGATGGGATAGAGAAAAGACAGTGTGTGGGGATCATTAGACAGTGAGAACATTTTGTTTAATAAATGACATGACAGGCTAGCTTTTTAAAATAATGTACTATATTACACTAATATATAACAGTATTGATAATATAAATACAAATTTTGTCTATTTAACAGTTATTATGAATTTTATTAAACATTTTATTGGGATGTTTAATATGTACTGCTAAATTTGGATAGTCATGAAATACAAAAATAAGTGCACGAACAGACAAAGAATTCACTGCTGTAAATTTACATTCAAGGGATGATAAGAAATGTGAAACTATCATGACATCTTAAACACTGTCTTCGAAATCTTGAAGAAAAAAAAGGTCTTGTCTTAAAGACTTCATAATATGTCAGTAAGAGTACAGGCCACAAAGAGATCCAGGGCTTTTTACCTCACAAAATGTGGAACGGCTTTTGGGAGCAGATTAGAAAAGGGTGGTGGGGGATAAAGCTCAATAAAGAAAACCTGGAAGTCATTGCAGGAATCTTAGCAGATGAACGCCATAAAGATTTTCTCTTTTTTTATTATTAGTGACATGAAGGTGATCAATAATTTCTGTCACTCTTCTCTTTTCAGTGAGAAAGGCAGGACTACACTTCGAAGCTACGTAATCTGGATTGCTTAACAAAACCGCATTAATTACATGGAACTGATCTGACAGCCCCAACTTCTCTTTCATTTCTCACATGTCTTTCATTTTCAATCAATGGCAGTGATGAGTACGCCTTCAAGACTGGGATAAGAGGAAAGGGATAATGTCTTCTTTTGTTTTAAGGCTGCTTAACGCCATCTTTGACATTCTCTCTACTTTCTTCTTCACCTCTAGATCTTTCCCTTCTCCTTCAGTCTCCTCTAGTCAAGATGTACAGCAGATAACTTTCTCATAGAATGACCTGGGTAGATATACTTTGCAAGGCTAAAGTAAAATCAGGTTAATAATAAAAATAATATTAATAAATAATAATCAGATTTGACTAAACCTTTATTGATAAAACCTATTCTTAGACTCTTTGTATTCAAGCAGAACATAAATGTATGCTTTGCCTCTAGTATTCAAATGATAACTATTTTAGTTCAAGTTTAACATTGACCGAAAACATAAAAGTGCTGAACACCAATGCTAGAGCAATTACAGAAAATACATACAATAAATACAAAATAGATTCCTACATACTGATTGGCTCTGTACAATCAATAGCCTGATCCCTCACATCAAAGCTAATACAGAAACCCTTATACAGTATGGATAGTAAAAAAAAACATCAATCATTAAACACTGGCAATAAAGCTGTTATTATCACAGAGCACGTCAGCCCTTCAGGTTTTTGTCTGACTTCATTCTTCTGTTATACCTGGCGGTTCATTCCTGTCTCTCATTATATTGAGATTGTTTCTTCTGTTGTCTGTAATCACACTCACTGCGATGCATTTATTCGCTCATACCTCGGGTGTGACAGGGCTGCAGTCCGGTGTGGCTGTTCCTCCATTGAAGTGGTTCTGGGCCAGCAGGAACGGAGAGTTGGCCATGTCCAGCAGCGGGTAATTCACCAGAACCACCTTACTGAAGTTGAACTTGTAGGTGAAGCGCTTGCCTTTAGTTTTGTGCAAAATGCGTTTGTTGTAGTAGTACCTGCAGGATGGAGAACAACAGAAAATACAATAAAATAAGCTTTAAATGTTTGTAAAAGAAAACACGATTGCATCTGTGCATGCAAGAATGAATGCTTGAATTACAGCGACAGATCACCCAAAAAAAGACAACTTTGTCATCATTTACCTTATGTCGTTCTATTTCTTTTGTGGAACAAAAAATAATGTCTCAGGGGTTTTTGTGCATACAATAGGGTACAAAGTAGTTTTGTTCTTCAAGCCATACAGATTTGGAACGACATTGGATGTATAAATCATGACACAGATTTCATTTTTAAGTGAACTATCGCTTTAAAGCGGGGGGGAGGCTGCCTTCACCTCCACTGAAACATTTTCCAGGGTCATGGCCTTCATTTGGGAATGCCAGCCTTGTCAGCTGCCTGTTCTGCACGGCGATGACCGCTTAGATTTCCCTCAGCATCACACGACGGCATATCAGTCAGTTGGAAATAAGAGATGGATCTATACGGAGTCTTTTCCGCTGCCCATCACCCGTTTGCGCTCATCACGAGTGTCAGAATGCTTTGAGGATGCTCACCTGTGCATGAGAGCGAGGCTCTTTAATCTCAGCACACTTTATGCTTGACTTCACTTTACCCGATCCGGCAGCCTACACGAGTTCCCGTGATGCAATCTGCCGGCGCTATAATTTGTAAGCTTTTATTTTATGTGGCAATTGTGCCCCTTAATTGAGCAATTAAGCAAGGCTAATCAACGAGGCTAATTATGGCCTGTGCCTATTCATAACAATTAGCAACTAGCGACAGCATCCATTAAAGGGAGGCTGGGGGAGGGTAGGAGGGGAGCAGAGCGATAAAAAAGGCGGGATGAGAAATGGCTAAGCGAATGTGCATGAATAAGAGCAGAAGTACTTCAACCAGGGTCAAAGTTCAACCCTGAAAAGTTTTATGTTGGAGTTTGGAGTTTGAAAAGAGATCTGATACATAGAATTTCGGTGAGGTGCGAATCAATTTTAGACTTAATTTCAAAATCCCCATCGACAAGTATTCTTTATATGAGCCTCTCGCCGGAGAACATCCAGAATCCATTTAGATGTTCAAAGATTCCACAAATTGGACTGTATTGATGTTTTTTGGAGGGAAGGCAGCACTTAAAATATCCACATACTATCAAGCATCAAGCATGGAGCGACCAAGGCTTTTATACAGGATATTATGTGAGGAAAAAATAAATGATGTTTTCCCCCCCATACGATGCAAGATAAAAACACATACACACAAAAGAAACAGCCAAACACACTGTGTACTCAACAAAGCACATCATCTAGAATATACATATTGCATGAGAGAACAATAAAAGGGAGCAATTAAGCATTAACACAGAAAACAATCCTTTGAATATGAAACCCACACATGCTGTGCATACCTAAGTGCTCGACTGAGCTTGTCGTAGTTCATGTGAGGTTTGCACTTCCGAATGCCCCACAGTCTTGCCACCTCGTCTGGGTCTTTGATCACAAATTCACCATAGTCTCCCTGCCAGGCAATCACCCCCTGGTATTCCTCCTTCTGCAGCAGCTCCAGGATGAAGTGCCACAGCTGGATCTGCCTGGAGCCTGGGCTTGACTCTGGCTTATAGGCCCAGTCTGGGAAGGCGATGCCTGAGGAAAGGGAGGCAAGTAAGTGAAAGGATTTGGATAAGGCCTGTTGGTTTTGCTACTTGCTAAGAGCATTCCTGTATAAATAACTGATGAAGCGATGGGTGGTTCAATAGGGTATTTTGAGCCTAGGGAGTAGATAGCCTGTGTTTTAAACAAGTATAGGTATAAGAGAACTTTCTCTCTTTTTTTAATTGATTTTGATGAAATTTTGATGAAGGGTGTTGTACATGGGCTAAATTATTGTTCAAACTGCAGCAAACAGCCTGTGATGACAGCCAGGAAGAAAAAATGATTATCAATTCTACCTTTTGTTTGAAATTGAATTTAAACAACAGTTATTTCTGGTCATTGAATTTGATTGGCCGAGCTGCATTCTGGGACTTTTTACTGTTTGTCTCAAAGACTATCTATGCAAAATCAGTCTATACATTTAGTAGTGGAGTTTTTTTTGTTGATATGAAAAATTGGGTCATTTTAGCAAAATAGCGTGTGAATTATGTATATGATTTATATTACAATGTTAAGATGAACTATTTGCCTTTCTACACTGACGTTCTAAGTTGTTCAAAGCGTTTCTAAGGATGCTGATTTTTAGAAAGCAGGCAGCTATCTGACTCTGAGATGGAGAATGGGAACATGATTTGTGTAACATTAGCGACACTTTATTAGCTGTTTGATAACGTAGTCAAGCAAAAGGCTAATCATATGAATTACCGTTATGTGTCAGACATTGTAAAGAGCGATACCCTTGTGCCACATTTACTACAGTAACTTGAGTAAAGTTGAGTGCATCTCTGAGCTGGCGTGAGTGAGTGGAGGCGGGGCTAATTTGCATATTCATGATCCGTGTATACTAAATGAAGCAAGAGTGTAGTTACATTCAAGCTATTTTAAGGCATGAATAAAAAAAATTCACATGAATAAACGTTTAAATATGTCATTTTGGTGATCAAAGATGAGTTTTAAGGGATACAATTATTGACTACAGGGGGGGCTATAAGGGATTCTTTCTGCAAGTTACATCATTATGCCAGTAGGTGGCGACAAGTGATTGTCTTTATGAGTGAGTCATTTGAATCATTCATTCAACCGATTCATTTGAAACACTGATTTATTTAGGAAAGAAACAAGTGACTGTCTTTGGCTGCATCTGAAAGCTGGAAAATGCAGAGGTAGGAAGGCAACAAGGCATGTCCAAATCCAATGATTGTATCACGCCCTGTTCACTGAGATTCCCACTGTACATCAGATGTCTGCCTTTATTATCCCACAATTCTCTGTGTACCATTTCGTGACAGTTGAGCTAAAAAATGTATATGGCATCTGGAAATTGCAGTTGGTTGTCAGTTTGTGTAAATGTACATTTTTTACCTTTTCACACTTTTCATCTAATTTCTAACAATAAATTACTATAGTAGTAATAAAGTATTTACTTAGTTATCACCAGAGCTTTCTCTATTTTGTTGTAGATCATTAAACCGTTAAACACTGCTTCAGAAGTCTGTCCAAAATCAGTTTTGTGAGCCACCTTCATGCACAAAAACTGCCTGAAGTCATTGCCTGATAAGGCAGTGAGGCAACAAGTCAACTGCCTAAGGTTTTGGACGCAGCCTGTTAAAGTGAGTCAGTGAATAATTTACTTAACCGATTCGTTCAAAACACTGTTTTATTCAGCAACAAAACACTATTACTGTGGGTTGTTAGGAGACGCATTGTCGATTCTGCCTTGGCTTCGTTTGGAACGATTTTCATTGCCGTAACAAAAAATAGACAACGAAGCTGTCTAAAATATAAGTTGCTTAATATTAGCTTACTGTTGAGTAAACTGTTGTATAACATATCGTGTCATGCTGTTGGTTGGGGTTCATCTATGCATTTGTTTCTACTGTCCTACGGAACCATGATAGTGAAGAAAAAGTCATTTAAGTTGGATGAAAAAAAAAAATCATCTTCCGGTGTCTCACCTGGTGTCCAGAGGGTTGGGACGGGTGGCGTGAGCAGCAGGTCACTAACACAGTTACAGTCCATACCTCCACTACACCTGCATTCACACAAACCAACAAAATTTAAATGTGTGAACCATTTTCGGTTAGACCACAGAACATAAGGCTAAAGCATAATACTTTGACTCATTTCACCCCCTACACACCAGTGTGTCAGAACATGCTGTTGTAAACCATGAGGGCATGTCATTCCGGTGGCCTCTGAAATCAATCAATGCCTTTTCATTTGAAGGGTTTCTTTAAATATGGTTGCCGAAGGCTGTCCCTTCAGCCATGCAGAAGATCACTGAGCATTTTTTCACAAAGAGCAACGTTCAAAAGACCCCATCTCGTGTTGAACATTTATGACAGTGTGTGAGGCCCTCAAGCAATTAGTCCAGGTTTCCATAGTTTGCACTTTAATGCATTACATTTTCATTTTGTAATAATGATCAAAATACGAAAATGCACATGATATTTTATAATAATAATTTAAGCATTTTTCAGTTTCCACACGTTATGCACTACAGTTGAACTTCATTTTCAACATGAAATGTTCACGTTGCAGCAGAAGGAAATAAACACGCCACGGTGGGCATGTGTTCATACAAATAACTTCAAAGCAGGATATCAAAAATCATTGAAGATTGCATCTGCTATCAGATCAACTGGGAGCATCAGTAAAGATCCATCTCTCCATGCAGCAATTCAGTATACATGGCTAGAGGAGTTCAATCTCTCCTCAGCCATCACAATTTCATAAAGGTTGTTTTACAAAGCTCTGGAAGAAGAAGGAGCCGGTACAAGGGTATCTTTAATGCTGGTCTCTCCCTCTCCCCCTCTCCTCTCTCACTCTATTTAATTATGCTCTGTGAATTTTGGATCTTCCCTCCAGCATTGAAATGGAACGTGAATTATTGAGGTGTGTTTGTATAAATTATTATTGCTAACTCCAGGCACTTCTCTCTCACACACAAGTACACACACACACACACACACACACCCCTTTGTTGCTTTTACTCTTTGGCCTGTCCACTTGCTCTCCCCCACCCTCGCACCGTCTACTTCTCATCTCGCTCTTTTTTTTTCTCTCGTAACATTCATCTGTTGTTATTTCTTTAGTACAATATATACTCAAGAAAACTGGTTTATCAATTCACTTGGCTGTATTTTTACTCACCCGTTTTGATAGCTTTGCGAGGGCATAGAAATGTAGATTCAGACTTTGTGCTCACCTTTAAGATTTGTCTTACTGGGCCAGTGTTATACGAGACTATCAACTTAAAAATAGATAACACTATTAAATGCAATTGAGCACAGTGCAACTGGTGCAGTCCAGATCACACCTGTAAATGAATTCATTTGTGAAATCTGTATTCAGAGCCTATCAGCCAGCCTATCCGATCAAAGGAAACCCAGCCTTACCTGCCCGTGCACCTAACTGCACTCTCTCTCTCTCTCTCTCTCTCTCTCTCTCTCTCTCTCTCTCTCTCTCTCCTCTGTATGTTTTTGCTCCCGCTCAGTAATTTTCCGTTTGATTTCGGAGGTAATGCATTTTTTACAAATCAAAGAGGAAGCCAGGACGCCCCCCCCCACCCTCCCTTTCCCTCGATCTCTTTCTTTTGCCCTGCTCTTCCCCTCCAGGCCAGTGAAGAGATAAAGGAGCCCCCATCATTTCCTTGTTAGTTTTGATTTGGGCAGCACAGGGCTTTCAAGTTCTCCCCATCACCCCCAGAAACATTATAACTAGCAGCCAAGGGAATACATCTTCTCACAATCTCCTAGATATGAAGACACTGATTCAGGGAGTGCACAACCACCGCACACACCAAACAAAAAAACTCCAAAAAAAAGATGCACATAAACAGGGCAACACAAAGTAACACCTTTGCCCAAGATAACATGCTCAAATGTACTCTTGAGAAAAGTAAAACTCTTCTGTGACAGGTACACATCAAGGTCACAAACTAGAAGCTCACATTTATATCGTCTGTGAGGATACAAACACAAAATATGATGATCAGAGTAAATAAAAGTGGAAGAAGATTAATAAATTATATAAATACAACTGAGTATATGAGTATGTAAATGAATATATATAAATGTATCCATGTATGAGGAAAAAGTTAAATTTATATCACTTAAATAATTACAGTCTCATCTGGATTATTTATTGTAAATATTTATGTAGAACAGATTTTATGGTTTAATATTAAATATTTTGACCGTATGTTAAATCATTTTAATCATTTAGTAAATCTATGTTTTGTAATGCTGTGGGGATTCAAGGAATTCAAGCTTAATGCCATGGAAAAATGATTTACGCTAATCTTATAGCACAAAAGCACTAAGTATGAAATAATAAGTCTGCTTTTATACATTATTATAACACTATTGCATTTAAACACATGCATTGATTAGTCATTCATTATGGAATGGCCGTGCCCTACAGATTTAACACGTTTACCCCTGTGACTAATTACATTTTGTGAAAAGCTCTGCTGATTGCACATTAATGCTTCGACAAAACAGGGCTGCTGGAAACAATTTTGTGTTATGGGTTGACCACAAAATAAAATGGTATTAATAATAGGTTCCGAGGTGGACTAAAGAGTAGAGGAAAAGAGAAAGAAGTGAGCAACAGATGGTAGACATTGTTTCTAGTTGTGAAAAAGATGGACAGCAAGGTTCTGAAACAGAGATGAGGGAATGTGATGAGTCTCGTCCCTCTCGCTCTCTTCTCCCAGGACATGAAACAAACCCTCCGTATCTGTGTCATCTTTCTGTTTCGGGCTGCCACTGAAAAGGGACTTATTGAACACCCTCGCCCCTCTTTCTCCCCCCACTGCTCCTTCCTCGATCCCTCTTTTACTTTTTCTCCATCTCTCGATTTCTCTTGACTCTACTCTGACAGTCTGCACAGCCTCAGGGTCAAAGAACAGAAGGACTGGCTTGTGTGTTTGTTATGAAGAAGGAAGCAGGGGAAGAGAGGGGTAAGGGGAAATATGGTCAAGATGGAGAACTTGAGATGGGGCGCATCTGACAAATTGTGCACACGATACAAAAATGACAGTTCAAACACATAAACATGGAAATATTTTCAGGCGGCTCACAAAAATCTATGAGACCTTTATTTAACAAATGTGTACATATTTATTCAAATTTCATAATAACTCTTAACAACCCATATATAGGGGAGACATCTTTGTCTCTCGGCTCGAGCATGCAAAGATCTGATCACATTAAATTCTCTACAAAAGGTTTGGATGCTTAAGGAATTTCTATAAAGGCAGTGTTATAAATGTAGGTTTCATTTCATGGTCCATGTTATGCCAGTTATTTGAATTTGCAATTTGAGAGAGACCAGAGAATGTTACACATTTTTGTTTTATTGCACTGCATGTGTGTCTCAAACATTGACATCATATTTTCATATATCTGTTTCACATCGAAGTAGAATTTGTTCTTAAACTGTAATGTTAAGTATTAACTAGCCTTAACTGTTAAGTATTAACATTAAACTAACATCCAATAAACTTTGTGGATTTATTTATTGTGGTGATCAAATGTAGGCCTACAGTAAATGGTTTCATTTTAAACATTTTATTTCAAAAACCAGTATGGAAACAAAAGAAATATCCGCCTAAATGTAGCATGTAATTGATTTTTTTTTTGTTAATATTCAAAATCAATTCAAAATCGTTTTTGCCCTGAATGCTTTATATATATAGCATATAGGCCTATACTGTATATATATACTTTTTTTTGTACATACACATTTCTAGTTGGTTACGTGACGTGAGTAAGACGTCATTTACGTCTCACCCCCGTGTTTACACCACTCTCCAGCGATCATCTTTCCTAACACTTCAAAGTTACTTTAGATACGAAACCCAATAATTGAGATAATAAGGTAAGGAGACCGTGAAAGCGAAGTTTCGGCGGTGCTTGGCACTTGCGGATGAGAAAACTGAGGAAACTTGTTAAAAAAGAGAGAGATGGAACAGTACTTGCTCAACTTTAGGATAGATGATAGAAGCGAGCGTGCGATATGGTAGCCCATCAGTTTCTTATAGAACATCGGACTTAAGATACAAGGAAAAAGGGGGGAAAAGACGGAGAAAAAGTATCAATCGATAGGGTTAAATTATTCATCGTCATTAATTATCGATCGCTCTCCGTTGCCGACTTGTCCGCCTCGCGCGAGAGTTGAAAGGAGGGAAAGCGCGCTTTATTAAAACCGGCTCGAGCCTCATTGTTTCATGTCCCGCGGCAAAGAAAAAGCTCGAGCTTGGTTCTGCCCGCGCCAGTGAAAAATACACACACACACATCGCCCCCCTTAAAGCTCCTTTTCTCTCCTCGCTCGCTTTCCCTCCCGATGCGCGGGAGAGCTTTGGGGAGCCTCGTACGGTGTTCACGGGGCGGCTGTGTCTCGCGTGGATCGATGTGGGATCAATGGCTCTCGCTGACTAATAGCCAGAGAGCGCCTTTGATCTCGCGGCTGAGAGATCAAAACCTGCGCGAGAGGGAAGAGAGAAGGAAAGAGAAAGAGGAAAATGCGCGGGAGACCGAGCGGACCTTAAACTTCACACAAACACGCGCGCTCGTACTTCGATACATCTGCCGTTGTCTTGTGAGGTGACATCATAACGAATTGTCAACGATTGTTTACTTTCCTACAATGAGCACTGAGCAGGTAGGCTATAACGCCCTACAAAAACAAGATAAACAAACTAATTTAGCGAGTTCAGCATATGACGCTGTTTTAGGCAAGTCAGCCTATGCACCATATGAACACCGTGGTAACTCCCAAACAAAATAAAATATTTTAAAGTAAACTTCTCTCAGTCTCCACTAATTTCCCCAGTAGACCTAAAATGTACACAAGTGAGTTAAGCTCGCGTCATAATTGAAATCTTCATGTTTGTCTATCCCTTCGTGCATTTTTAAAAATCAATTTTACGCGGAAACCCAAGACATTAATTCTGATTCAAATTATTGTTTAAATGGTGCACCAGGGAACTTTTTGGCTCTGCTTGATGTTAATTTAAAATGTGT